GCTTGTGTTCCCTCTCTCGCTGTGTCTCTCTCTGTCAAATAAATAAATAAAATCTTAAAAAAAAATAGTGCTACAATGAATAGTTTTTGTGCAGGTCTCTGCATAGTTTTGCCAGTTTAATTTTGAGACAGATTCCTACAAATTGTCTGGTCAGTGGGCATTTGTTTTGTTATAAAGATTTTATTTAAAGAGAGACAGCACACACACAAGCAGTGGGGAGGACAGAGGGAGAGGGAGAAGTAGACTCCCCACTGAGCAGGGAGCCTGACATGGGGCTCCATCCCAGGACCCTGAGGCCATGACCTGAGCCAAAGGCAGATGCTTAACTGACTGAGCCACCCAGGTGCCCCTTCAGTGGGCATTTGTAATTCGTTTTTGCTGTGTGTGGCCTAGTTCCCTTCCATAGGTTGCACCATCTTGCATTCCCATTGGTGATGTTTCCTCACAGCCTCGTAAACAAATATTTTGTTAAATATTTGGAATTTTGCCAATCTGAGAAGAAATGGCATCTCAATGTGGTTTCCTTTTGCATCTTTGTGGGTGAAGTCAAGCATCTTTTCATATATTTAAGCACCATTTTCACTTGTCTGTGACTTGCTTCTTTTCCTAGTTGGTGGTCTCTTCCCTCTGGTTTTAGAAGTGCTATTATGTTAACCCATTGTGACATAAGTTGCAGATATATTTTTTAAAAGATTTATTTATTTATTTTGGAGAGAGAGAGCACCAATGGGAGGGGCAGAGGGAGAGGGAGAGACAGTCTCAAGCAGATTCTGTGCTGAGCACAGAGGCTGGCATGGGGCTCAATTCTACCACCGTAAGATCATGACCTGAGCTGAAACCAAGAGTCAGATGCTCAACTAACTGTGCCACCCAGGTGGCTCCAAGCTGCAGATATTTTTAATGCACCAATTTATCAATTGTTTAAGATTAAAAAATTATAAAATAAGCCCTGTATAATCCTTTTTGATGCAACTGTACAAGTTGTAATAAGCAATTTGATAACAGAGAAATAGTTACAAAGAATAGACTTAGAGCATCTGGGTGGCTCAGTTGGTTAAGTGTCTGCCTTTGGCTCTGGTCATGATCCAGGGTTCTGGGATCAAGCCCCATGTTGGGCTCTCTGCTCGGCGGGGAGTCTCCTTCTCCCTCTCCCTCTGTCCCTCCCCCATCCTTTTTTTAAAGATTTATTTATTTATTTGAGAGAGAGAGAGAGCACACACACACAAGTCAGGGAGGGGCAGAGGGAAAGAATATCCAGGTAGACTTCCACTAATCGTGGAGCCGGGCATGGGGCTTGATTCCATGACCCATGAGATCACGACCTGAGCTGAAACCAAGAGTCAGTCACTCATCTGACTGAGCCACCCACGTGCCCCACATTTTTCTAATGCTTAATGATACTGTCATTTCTTGTGCTTATTTGCCATATATTCTTTGGTTAAGTGTCCATTCATATCTTAAGCCAGTTTTTATTGGGTCATTTGTCTTCTAATTAAGTTGTAGGACTTCTTTGTAGGGTGGGCTACAGAGTATTTGTTGGATATATGTTTTGCAAATATTTTCTCCCAGATAGTGCTTTGCCTTTTCATATTATTTCATTTTGGGGAACAAAAGTTTAAAATTTTGATGAAGTCCTATTCACTGATTTCCCTCCTTGAAATGTCATGCTCTTTTGTATCCTATTTAATAAATATTTGCCAAAGTCAAGGTCACTAAGGTTTTTACTATATTCTTCTAGAAGTTTCTACTTTGCATTTTGGTTGATGATATATATATTTTAGTCCTCCCCACTCTCCCTTTTTTTAGTTGGTTGATGATACCTTTTAATTTTTATATATGGTGTGGTGTAAGGGTTGAGGTTCATTTTGTTGGTATGGGGTTATTTAATAATAGTCCAAGTACCGTTTGTTGAAATTAAGGCCCTATTTTTTTTTTTAAGATTTTTTTTTTTTTATTTATTTGACAGAGAGAGACACAGCAAGAGAGGGAACACAAGTAAGGGGAGTGGGGGAGGGAGAGGGAGAAGCAGGCTTCCCGCCGAGCAGGGAGCCCGATGCGGGACTCGATCCCAGGACCCTGGGATCATGACCTGAGCTGAAGGCAGACGCTTAACGACTGAGCCACCCAGGCGCCCAATAAGGCCCTATTTTTAAAACAATCTTTTATACCTTAATTTTATACAAGCTATCTGTAATATGAGTTGTAAATATTTTCCCCAGTTTGTCATTTGTCTTTTTACTTTGATTATATTGTTTTTAATCAGGCAAATATTGATTTCTATGTAGTCAAATTTATCACTGTTTTCTCTTATTGTTTCTTGATTTTGAGTGCTAGTACAATTTCCCTAACTTCCAGGTTCTACAGGAATTCATGTTTTCATCTACTACTTGTTTGGTTTTGTTTCTTTACATTTAAATGTTTTTCATTTAGAATTTATTTTGATACATGATGTGAAGAATGGCTCTATTTTTTTTTTCCAAATGGTTATCTGATTATCCCGAAACTACATACTTTGAAGTTTATCCTTTCCCCCATCGTCTTGATAAGAAGATTGGAGATGCCACCTTTTTCTTGTATCAAATTTCCATATGGGAGTGGTCTTCTCAGCTGATGTTGTAATGTGGAAAGGCTCAGAGCCTAGCCCACGGGCACAGAAGAAGACATGCAGAATAAGCCACATGGGGTACTGGGGAGCCAGGCTGCACTCATGCCTTCATGTTACTTCCAGGGAAGCCCCGTAGCCAGTGATGACTGTCTGGATCTTGCCTGCCAAGCCCCAGGAGAATGGTCCAGCTAAGACTCTGCTCTCACAGCTGTCGTGGCATGGCCTGAATTGTTCCCAGTCATCAGGGCCCTGTTCTCCCCTCACACTCAGGAGTTCTCTCCAAGCCATGGAGGCTTTAGGATTAGCACATATCCTGGCCCTGCTCTACACATACCATGCTCCAGAGTTTCCCAGCTTCACCTCATGTGGAGGGGTGCCTATGGACATTGGGGGAAACTCTTTCTTCCCCCTCATCAGTCTTTGACCCCAGAAGTTTCAGGACCCACTTGTGGGGCACGAACTGTGGGGTTATAAGAGGGAGATCTCCCAGGACTCTACCAAGCACATGAATCTTTTGGCAGTTTGTACCAGGCCAGGTACCAGCTGTTAGAGCTGTTTGTTTGTTGTTGTTAAAGGAATTGGGGTTGTTGGTTGAAGGTAGGAATAATGTCTGGGAGTGGAAGTAAAGAGCAAGGAGAACACCCTCCCAATCTCCGGTTCCAATGGTACATGGGGGAGGGAGAAGGCTTCAGGTGACCTGTGTGATCGGGGGACAACCAGGTTTTAGTTAGAACAGGAAGTTGAGGCATGCCTGGGTGGCTCAGTTGGTTAGGCATCTGCCTTCAGCTCAGGTCATGATCCTAGGGTCCTGGGATGGAGTCCCACATCAGACTCCCTGATCAGCAGGGAGTCTGCTTCTCACTCTCGCTCTGCCCCTCCCCTTGCTCATGCTCTTTCTCTAATAAATGAATAAAATCTTTAAAAAAAAAAACCCAGGAAGTTGAAGGGAACTTTCAGAGAAGTCATAACACAGAGGAATTTGTTGATGTCCATAAACCAAAGAACAGAGTGGAAGGCATGGGGCCAAAGAGTGCTTAGTGCTTCTATTTTTTTTTTTTTTTTGAAGGCATGGATAGGAGGTATCTGGGGAGAGTAGGGAAGGTCCCTCAAACTGGTGTGAAATGGCTTGAGAGGAGAGCCAAGAAAGGGATACTGACTTAGGGTCTTTATTGTGGTCAGTGGGTATGGTGGGTAGGATTGCCAAGCATAGGTGAAGGCTTGTGTGGTTTTAATCTTCTGCTGGTGTCAAAGGAGAGAGCACAGCTTTCTTATCAGCTTGTCCAGATGTGGGCATGGAGAGTAAGGGGGATGAGGTTCCAAAGCTATCAGCAAACATCAAAAAATGGAACCAGACCACTCATTATAATTCGCCTCTGTTATTTGATGACTGGAACACACCATATTTAATTGAATTAGTGCTTGTTTAAATAAGCTATACAGCCCTCTTGCAACCTGCAGCCTGAGGTTAGTGAGGGAGATGAAAATGTCACTGAATCCTTCAAGAGTTCAGCACTATGTATTCTGAGAAATGACAAGAGTGCCTCAGCTACTACAGAGGGGATGAGGGTGTCCTGGTGAGATCCTGTACTGTGGCCTGTGCATGGGTACAGACATCTGTGAGGCAAGAGATTCTGAGAGTTCTTTGCCCTAAATGGGCAACTCTTAGGCACTGGCACAAGAGTTTGTAAAAATGTGCAGATGGGGCCATTCATTAGCCAGGCCATCCAGTGCTAAGACAATTGCCTGGAATTTGGCCAGTTGTGCTGATGTTTGGATCCGGTTCTTTATTAGGGATGTCTTGGTTAAGAGATGAGGAATGGCAGTTCCCTACTGAGCTCCATCATCTGTGATGGTCGGCAGTGCTGCTTGTGAATTCCCACTGCTTTTCACTTAGTTCATCCCAAGAGGCTCCCCAGGTAGTCAAAGGGTCTGAGGAGGGCTGCCCTCCAACACCCTGGCATCTGGCAGGGACTGAGGACAGGGGAGGCTGCCCCTTCTGCAGGTGGAATATGCCAGAGGGCCAAGGTTTGGCTTCCAACAGCAGTTGGAAGGCCTTCCAATAGCAATGGATGCTTTATAGGCTTAATTTGGGTTTGAATTAATCTCTTGGCTGTGCTGGGGGTGTTCTTCCCTAGAACCCAGAGGATCAGGACCTTTGCTGTGATGGTGGTAGTATGCAAGGGTTCTAGTGAGCATCTGCTCTCTGGAGTGTGGGCCTCACTTGGCATGCCACCTAATGCCTCCTTGCAAATGTTCTGAGTGGTCACCTAATGGACACGGATCTCACATATGGTATGGTCTCTCCCCTGAGCTAGTCAGCTGCGGCCTTGGCCTCAAGCATACAGATAGGTCTGGGATCAGACACACAACTCAGGGCCACTTTAAGGAGGGCTCCTATACCATGCTGCTATCCCTAAACAAGTACTTATCAAGTGATTTAGGACAGCTACATCTATAACAAAGGCTCTGCTGGACTCAACAGTGCAGCACGTGTGGCATGGCCGAGTGCATGCTGGCTTGCAGACAGTGGCTGCATGGGCAGGGAGAACCCTGGGGTGCCATCGTCCAGTCACCCTGCTCACAGTGCCAACTCCAATTCTTACCATTACCTTCAGGGTGGATGCCTCCCCCCCACCCCCCACCCAATTTGGTTCAGAGGTCAAGACTGACAACGCCACACACCACAAGGGTATGAGGTTTATTACTTGAATAACTGAGGTCAGCAGGGCAGGGATCCCAGGGCAGGTCAAAATGGCTTGAGGGGCAATGGAAGGGCACTGGCCTGGGTATTTGCTCTGGCTGGGGTTGAGACTACAGCACACACCTCACACTTCCTGTCCAGCAGGGTTTGAATGGTTTGAAATCTGTTGGCATCAAGGAGGGGGCACCCAGGCTTCTGAGCCATTGTTTCCCAAGAAACATTTCCAAGGACATCATGAAAGCCAAAAGAAATTGTAGTTGACAATTTGCTTTCCAAAATTTCTCTTTGGAAACATGATGTTCCAAAATTAAAATTCCTTAGGCTGCAGATGGCAGGCCCCTGAATTTGGTCAATTCTGCCCGGACACTGGGTAGGGACAAGGGCCCAGTGAAGCTTGACACTCACTCCTCCTTCCTGTGTCTAAGCTCTGGCCTCCCACAGCTGTGCTTCAGCCCCAGGGGGTCTGCCAACAGTGTGGAGGCCAGAAGAAAGGGCAAAAGGAGTTGAGAAGGGAGTAACACAGAGGACATGCTTGCCACTACAGCCTCTCCACACAGCAATGACCGTGTTAAAATATAAGTCATCAAAAGCCTCCAGCATCTCCCATTTCACCCGGCATAAATGCCAAAGTCCTTGTCATGGCCTAAGGCCTTTTGTGATATGGCCCATTATCTCCCACCCTATTTGCTTCTCCCTCTCTCACTCAACTCCTAGCCATACTGACCTGTGATTCTTGGAACACTCTAGGCCTGTTTCTGCTCAGGGCCTCTGTACTGGCATGATGAGAAAAATTTTTGTTTTTCCCAGTTACTGCCCAGGCATTTTACCGTATGATAACCCTACACACACCCAATGTGTGGACATTGAGATCACAACTTTAGTTTAGTGACCTCCACCCTAAGCACCTCCTGAGTAATATATGCTACCATGCTCTCAATTTCCTGCTCACTCATGACCTGTAATGGTGGAATGCCCTTCTCCTGGGTCATGGTGCCCCCTTGCTTCTGGGATCTGTGTGGTAAATCTCGTGAATTTAATTCCTTTGTGTGAGTGCATTGAAACTGTGCCTTCAATGAAAAAGACCCCAGGGTTTTCACCTTCCCAAAGGGGGAGCTACCTCGTGACCTGTGTGGGTGGCTGTGCCTCCTCCTCCAGCAGGTCATAACCTGCGAATTCCTAATTTACTACCCAGCTCTGGCTTCCCAACCGGCTACTCTTGCTGTCATACCCTACCCCCCATCTTCACTGGTCATTCTCGAGTTGTCACTCAAAGGACATCTGGGTGAGGCCTTCTCTGACAGCCCCTATTTAAAGCAGAACCCCTCAAAACACCCAGACCGTATTTCCTGCTTTCCTTTTGCCTCATGACAATCTTAACCATTAGGGCATTTTTCTCTACCCACTGGAATGTAAAGTCGTCAAGGGCAGGCATTTTTCTGTCCTGTTTCCTGTGTCCCCAGCAAATGGTATGTAGTAAGCGTCCCACAAGTATTTACTGGAAAAAAGGATGGAATCCAGGCTGGGAAAGGGGGAAAGTGAAGCCAGAGAGGATTGCCTGACAGTGAGAAAGCATGAGGGTGAACAGATGGAGGTCTCCATGCGGTGGAAAGATGAGCAAGTGAGTTGGAGGGTTAGCCGAGCAATGCTCTCAGCAAAACTACAAATGTGGCAGCTTCTTGTCTAGGGTGTTTCCTTGGGAAGGTGGGGCTGAAGTGGAGGGGAGGGGGGTGAGCAGTGATGGGCTACTCTGATGGCCTCTGAGAGAAGGACAGGCAGCCCACCTGACCTGTGCACCCTTGAGCCAACTCTCCCATACTTCCCTCTTCAAACCTCTCCCTCATTTGCAATTGATGGCTTTGCCTCTACTTCCTTGAAAGCACAGAAGCCAAGCCCCTCCCTTCCTAAACTGCAAACCTGACTACATCTGCCCATCAATGCCTTTCCTCCCGGAAAAACACAGGAGGTGCCTCTCCGTCCACCTATCCTAGGATATCCCCAAGTTGAGATGGGCGGGCTGGCTGGCTGGCTATGAGGGTCCTCTCTGGTGGCATATGTGTTGCTTCTGGGACAACTCCCACTGCTCATGGAGAGGGGCACAGCTCTGGGAAACTGAGGAGGGGCCAGTCCCCACCTACTAGGGGCACTCACAGGTGCTCCATGAATGTCTGGAGATGAATGGGTGTGGGAGAAAACTGAGTCTGGGAGCTTATGAGGAGAACAGGATGGGTATGGAGAGGGCAGGCCTCTGTGGGGCAAGAGCCAGGAGCATAAGGCACAGAGGCAGAGGGTGGGAAACAGCTGCTTGTGTAATTGTGCAGCAGCCCCGATGACCTCAGACTCAGGCACAAAGGAAAGGCAGAAGGAATCCTGCATCTAGTGACTGCATGGGAGGGACAAGAAAGGGTGAGAAACTGGTGGTAATGAGTACACACCACTTCTGAGAGAGGATGACTGCCATCAGACCTGAAAAACTCTTGACCTGATTTTATGTAAGCAGAATATTAATTATAACCATACACAAAGAGTTCACTCTATGACTAATTATCAAAGAAAAGAATTCCCGTGGTTATTTCGAACCAAATGTCAGTTTACTTTTTTGGTTCTGTTAATAATCTCTATTCATGAATATGAATATGCAGCTTCTACCATCTTTTCCCTCCTAACAATTGTGGCAGTCTGATAACAAAATGTACAAGCAAAACAAACAAGAAACAAGAGGTCACAGGAAGCAGGAGTGATGGCAGGGGAAGGAGGGTCTGGGCTTTGTGGACAGTGGGATGTGGGGGTAGAGGGCAGTGAGTGAACCTGGCTTCAAGTCTGGGAGGTGGGTGAAGCTGGGACATGGTCAGAGGAGTCAGGAATGGAGCTGTACTCAGTTTCATTCCCTGGAGTGGATCAGCTGGTGTTTGACCAACTTGGAGCGCTGGCTGAAGGCTTTCCCACAAGCAGAGCAGTCATAGGGCTTCACGCCGGTATGGATCCTCTGGTGCTGGATGAGGACTGAACGCTGACTGAAGGCCTTCCCACACTCACCGCACTTATACGGCCTTTCACCAGTGTGGATTATCTGATGTTGAATAAGGTGTGAACTCTGGCTGAAGCCCTTACCACATTCGACACACGTGTACGGCTTCTCTCCAGTGTGAACTTTCTGGTGGTGAATGAGGTTTGAGCTTCGGTTGAAGGCTTTACCACACTGGTTACATTCATGTGGTTTCAAGCCATTATGGATTCTCTGATGCTGAATGAGAGTTGAACTCTGGCTGAAGGTTTTTCCACATTCGGTACATTCGTAGGGTTTCTCTCCAGTGTGAACTCGCTGGTGAAGGATAAGGTTGGAGCTCCGACCAAATGTTTTTCCACATTCTCGACACTCATAGGGCTTGTCACCCGTGTGCACACCCTGATGCTGAATGAGGGCTGAGCTGTGGCTGAAAGCCTTCCCACAGATGCTACATTCATACGGCTTCTCTCCTGTGTGGATTATCTGGTGCTTTCTGAGCACGGAGCTGTAACTAAAGGCTTTTCCACACACATTACATACATGAGGCTTTTCTCCAGTGTGAATTCTCCGATGCTGAATGAGGCTTGAACTCTGACTGAAGGCCTTCCCGCAGTCACTGCACTTATAAGGTTTCTCTCCAGTGTGAACCCTGTGATGCTTAATGAGGTTGGAGACCCGGCTGAATGGTTTGCCACACTCATTACATTCGTAAGGTCTCTCTCCAGTGTGAACCCTCTGATGCTTCCTCAGGTGTGAGCTCTGGCTGAATGCTTTCCCACACTCATTACACTGAAAAGGTTTCTCACCTGTGTGAATCCTGTGGTGTTTAATGAGATTTGAGCTCCGCCTAAAGGCCTTCCCACATTCGTTGCACACATACGGCTTCTCTCCAGAATGAATTCTTTGATGTTGGATGAGGTTTGAGCTCCGCCTAAAGGCCTTCCCACATTCACTGCATTCATAGGGCTTCTCACTCATGTGAGACTTCTGGTGCTTTTTAAGGCTTGAGTTCTGGCTAAAGGCTTTTCCACATTCATTGCATACATAAGGCTTCTCTCCGCTGTGGTTAATCTGATGCCTAATGAGGTTTGAGTGCACACTGAAGGTTTTCCTGCACTCACTGCACTGGTAGGGTTTTTCACTCACATGAGACCTCTGATGATTTTTAAGAAATGAGTTCTGGCTGAAGGATTTTCCACATTCATTGCATATGAAGGACTTCTGTCTAGTATGGATTATCTGATGCTGAATAAGATCAGGGTTTCCTCTGAAGGTTTTCCCACAATCATTACATATGAGTGGGCTTTCGGCTATGTGAAGCCCCTCATGGCTACTTAAGTCCATACTGTGTTGGAAGCTGTGGCCACATATGTCATACAGATGTGGCCTCTCTTCTGTAGGAATTCCCTGAGATGCTGTTGGGTTTGGGCTCAGACTGATGCTTCTTACAAAGTCATCACAGCCCAGCTCTTTCTCTAAGGGGCTCCTAAGGAGCACTGCCACTGGCGTAAAGCCCTCCTCCTGGTAGAGTGACTGCACCCGTCTCTCACTGTCAGGGGTTCCCCAATCTCTCTCCAGTACATCATCACAGAGTTCTCCAAGCTCAGGTGCCTGAGAAAAATCACTGGTATAGTTTTCTGATATTTCTGCCTGTGATTCCAAATCCTCAGAAACTTCTTTCTTCTGAAGAAATTCCTTGCCCTTAGTCCTGGTGTCCCAATCTGAAATGATACACAAAGTCACTTGGAAGGAAACAGGAAAATACAGATGACACATCTGGGAATGTGTGACCCACTGGGGGTGGTAGTCCCAAATCTCTCTAGGGGATGAGAGAGGGGGCTGGGAGAGCTCTAAAGGGATGAGGCAGGGGCGCCTGGGTGGCTCAGATGGTTAAGTGTCTGCCTTCGGCTCAGGTCATGATCCCAGGGTCCTGGGATCAAGCCCTGCATCGGGCTCCTGGCTCAGCGGGGAGCCTGCTTCTCCCTCTCCCTCTGCCTCTCTCCCTGCTCATGCTCTCTCTCTCTGTGTATCTCTGTGTCTCAAATGAATAAATAAAATCTTAAAAAAATTAAAAAATAATAAAAAAAAAAGGGATGAGGCAGCAGGGCCCTCAACCTACAAGACTGACCCTCACCCCGCTGACCCACATCTCAGGAAATCACCTGCAGTCTCCCTATTGGTTCATGTCAAAATCATGTTCTTCTGTGAGCCTCAGAGCTCCCCAAGTCAGGAGCCCTGGACCTGGGGGTGTCTAGGAAATGTCCACATGAGGCTGGGCACCTAGGAGTAATGGGGGGAGGGCTCACTGAGGACTGCAGGGACAGGGAGGCTGCTGTGGGAAACAAGAGTCTGCACAGGTTGCCCCAAAGCTCACTATGCCCCGCACTGCCCCCAGCAACTGACCCAGGGAGCCTCCCATCCTCCTCTGGCTGCATATGAAGTAGGGACCAGAAGGGGATGACACACAGGAGTCAATGGAGCTTTCTCATAAATGGTCACAGGGTACCCTTTTTAGGTTTTGTGGCTATATGGTCTTGGGTATATAGTCTGCTTTGTTACAACCCTGGAAAAACCTCAAAACCATTCTTTGCTTGTAGGCCATTAAAACAAAAAACCAACAAAAACCCCCAACAAATCCCTGGCTAGCTGGATCTGGCCTGTGGGCCACAGTCTGTTGACCCTAAGATAAGGTCACTAGTATGGCTCAGGAGATGGTGGCAATGATTAGTTTTCAGCCCCAAGCCACTGTTGGCCTGGAAGCCTTTTATTGAGACAGGAGACAAAACTGAGTCCTGTGGGTGAGGATGGTGAGAGGTCGCTTCGGATTTATTAAATCTGATGTAATTCTTCTCTGCAACTTAAGAACTGTTGGAAACAATGATTAAAGTTTCTCTTTTGAAAGGAAATGTAAAATTGGAAATGTGGTTTCCCTTATGACGCACACACACAATAAAAGTTGGGTTTAAGGGGAGGCACCTGGCTGGCTCAGGGTTGTAGGTTCGAGCCCCATGCTGGCTGTAGAGATTACTTAAAAATAGAATCTTAAAAAAAAAAAAAAAAGTTGGGTTTAAGGGCAAAGAAAAAGATTTGAAAACAAAGAGTTGCTTGCGCTGTCCTTGCTGCCCCCATGACTGATCCCCACTGGAGAAAAGAGTGAGGATTCTAAGCCCTTCTAGAACACAACAAACCTATTAGTATTTGCTGAGAGAAAGCACTCATTAAAGACCTTTATGATTAGTGGCTTCCAGGTTTGTGGAAAACAGCTTAGGTAAGTACCCAAGTCAAAGCCACATACTCAGGTGGGGCTCCACTAGTCTATCTCCTGAGCAGCTTTTCATTTACTTAATTTATTGAGGTGAAATTTACAAAAATAAAATTGTTTAAAATGAACATTTAAGTGGCATTTAGTTGTGCCCGTTGTGCACATTTACAGTGTTGTGCAATCATCACCTCTATCTAGTTCCAAAACAGTTTCATCACTCCAAAGTAGAGCCTCTTATTAACCCATCAGTTTTATCTCTCCTCCCCACCTCTTAGCAACCCTCAATCTGCATTTTGTCTTTAAGCATTGGATAGTTCATATAAATGGAATCCTATCACATGTGACTTTTTATGTGTGGATTCTTTCACTTAATGTTTTTCCAAGTTCATCTACATTGTAGCATGTATCACTGCTTCATTCCTTTTTTTTTTGTCTGAATAATATTCCATTGTATGGATATAGTATATTTTCCATGGATGGACATCTAGGCTGTTTTCTTTTGGCCATTGTGAATAGTGCTTCTATGAACATGATGTACGTACACATGTTTGAGTACCTGTTTTTAATTCTTTGCATATTTATCTAGCATTGCTGGGTCCTATGGCAATGCTGTGTTTAAACGTTTGAAGAACTGCCAAATTTTATTCCATAGTGGCTGCACCACTTTCCATTCCCACCAGCAATGTATGAGAGTTTCAATTTCTCTACACCCTTGAAAACACTTGTCACATATTTAAGTATGACAACCACTCTAGTGGGTGTGAAGTGGTTATCTCATTGTGGTTTTGATTTGCATTTCTCAAATGACTAATGAATTTAAGCATCTTTTCATGTGCTTATTGGCCATGAAAATTTGCATATTTTCTTTTGAAAAGCATTTATTCCAGTCCTTTGCCCATCATAAAATTGGGTTGTTTGTCTTTTTATTATTGAGTTTGAGTTCTTTATACATTCTGAATACTAGACTCTTAACCAGAAATACAATTTGCAAAGACTTTCTCCCATTCTATAGGGTGTCTTTTAACTTTCTTGACAATGTCCTTTGATACCCAAAAGTTTTTAATTGTGATAAAGTCCAACGTACCTATCTTTTTCTCTACTGCTCATGCTTTTGGTGTCATATCTAAGAATCCACTGCCGGGCGCCTGGGTGGCTCAGTTGGTTAAGCGACTGCCTTCGGTTCGGGTCGTGATCCTGGAGTCCCGGGATCGAGTCCCGCATCGGGCTCCCTGCTTAGTGGGGAGTCTGCTTCTCCCTCTGACCCTCCTCCCTCTCATGCTCTCTGTCTCTCATTCTTTCTCTCTCAAATAAATAAATAAAATCTTAAAAAAAAAAAAAAAGAATCCACTGCCAAACTCAAGGTTATGAAAATTTATACCTGTTTTCTTGTAAGAGTTCTATGATTTTAGTTCTTTATTTAGGTTGTTGGGCCATTTTGAATTAATTTCTGTATATGGTGTGAAGTAGGGGTCCCAGTTTATTCTTCTGCATGTGGATATCCACTTGTCCCAGCATTATTTGTTGAAGAATTATCTTTTCTCACTGAACAGTCTTGACATCCATATTGCAAATCAATTTGTGACAGACGTCTTGGTTTACTGCTAGACTCTCAATTCTATTCCATTGATCTGTATGTATAGCTTTATGTCAGTACCAAATTGTTTTGATTATTAAAGCTTTGTAGTAATTTTTGCAACTGGTGAGTATGAGTCCTCTGTTTTTCCTTTTCAAGCTTGTTTTGACTGTTTGGGGCCTTTTGTCATTCTATATGAATCAGAGGGCTCAACTTCAAAAATTTCTGCAAAAAAAGCTGTTGAAATTTTGATATGGTTTGTATTGAATTTGTAGATTGCTCTGGATAGCACAGGCATTGTAACACAATTAAGTTCAATCCATGGACTTGATGCCTGTCCAATTATTTATGTATTTGTTAATTTCTTTTGTCAAGGCTTTGTAATTCTCAGCAAACAAGTCTTTCACTTCCTCGGTTAAATTTATTTGTAGGTTCTTTTTTCTTTTTTAAAAGATTTTGAGAGAGAGAATGAGAGGGGAGAGGGGGGAGGGGCAGAGGGAAAGGGAGAAACAGACTACCCGCTGACGAGGGAGCCTGACTTGGGGCTTGATCCCAGGACCCTGAGATCATGACCTGAGCCAAAGGCAGATGCCTAACTGACTGAGCCACCCAGGTGCCCCTATTTTTTCTTTTGATGCTATTTAAATGAAGTTTTCTTAATTTCCTTTTCAGATTGCTCATTTCTGGTATATAGAAACAACTGATTTTGTGTGTTGACCTGTACCCTGAAACTTGGCTGAATTCATTTATTAGCTCTTATAGCTTTTTAATGGATTCTGTGGGATATTCTATATATAGGATCATGTCTTCTGCAAATAGAGATAGTTTTCCATCTTCCTTCTCAATTTGAGTGTCTTCTTTCTTTTTCTTTCCTGATTGCTCTGGGTTAGAACTTCCAGTACAATGTCGAACAGCAGTGGGAAGACAGGCATACTTTCCTGATCACTAGGGGAAAAGATTTTAATCTTTCACTATTGTGTATAATGCTAGCTGTGGGTTCTTCATGAATGCCCTTTATCATGTTAAGGAGGTTCCCTTATATTGAGTTTTCCCAGTGTTTTCCTTTTCTTTCTTTCTTTTAATCACAAAGGTGTTTGATTTTGTCAAATACATTTTCTGCATCAGTTGAGATGATTATGGTTTTTCTCCTTCATTCTATTAATGTGGTAAATGACACTGATTGGTTTTGTTATGTTGAACTACCTTTGTATTCCTGGGTTACATCCATGGGGTATAATACTTTATTCTTGAGTCACTTTGGTAATTTTTTTTGTCTTTAGGAATTTCTCTTTCATCTAGGTTATCTAATTTGTCAGTGCACAACTGGTAACAGTCTTCTCTTATACTCCTGTTTACTTTTGTAAGATAGGTAGTAATGTCCATTTCTGATTTTTGTTATTTGTGTCTTCAAAGGTTTGTCAATTTTAATCTTTTCAAAAAACTAACTTTTGATTTTGTTGATTCTCTAATGTTTTCTTTCTTTTTTTTTAAGATTTTATTTATTTATTTGACAGAGAGAGAGCAGGAGAATACAGCAGTGGCAACGGCAGAGGGAGAGGGAGAAGCAGGCTCGCCACTGAGCAGGGAGCCGGATGCGGGGCTCGATCCCAGGACCCTGGGATCATGACCTGAGCCGAAGGCAGCTGCTCAACCAACTGAGCCACCCCGGTGCCCCTGTTTTCTACTTTCTATTTTATTTCTCTCTCCTGTAATGTTTATTATTTCCTTCCTTCTGTTAACTTTGGGTTTAGTTCACTTTTGTTTTCACAGTTCCTTAAGATATAAAGTTAGGTTACTGATTTAAGATCTTTCTTCCCTTTTTTTTTTTTTAAAGATTTTTTATTTATTTATTTGACAGAGAGACACAGCGAGAGAGGGAACACAAGTAGGGGGAGTGGGAGTGGGAGAAGCAGGCTTCCCGCTGAGCAGGGAGGCCAACATGGGGCTCAATCCCAGGACCCCGGGATCATGACCCAAAGCCGAAGGCAGATGCTTGATGACTGAGCCACCCAGGTGCCCCGATCTTTCTTCCTTTTTAATGTATCCACCTACTGCTATAAATTTACCTTCTGGCACTGCTCTCCTTGCATATAAGTTTTTGTTTGTTTTCATTTGTATGCAGGTTCTTCTAATTTCCCTTGTGATTTTTTTTCTTGACCCATGGGTTAGGAGTATGTTGTTTTATTTATACATATTTGTAAATTTTTCAATTTTCCTGCTGTTATTGACTAGAGATAATACGTTACATGATTTCAGCTGTTTTTATTATTGGGATTTGTTTTGTGGCCTAACATAAGGTCTATGTTGGAGAATGTCCACGTACACTTAAGAATATGTGCTCCTTTGGGTGGAGTGTATGTACGTACATGTCTATTAGGTCTAATCGATTTATAGTGTTGTTCAAGTTCCCTATTTCATTACTGATCTTCTGTCTGATGTTCTATCCATTTTTGGAAGTGAGGTACTGAAGTCTCCAACTATTATTATACAACTATTTCTCCCTTCAAATGTATATGTGTTTCATATATTTTGGGATTCTCTTTTGTAACTTACATCCTCTTGCTGAATTGATTCTTTTATTCATACATAATGCACTTCTTTTCTCTTGTTAAAGTTTTTTACCTAGTTTATTTTTTCTGGTGTTATAGTACAATCACCCCAGCTCTTTTGGTTACTATTTATTTGCATGTAATATCTTTTTTCATCTTTTACTTTATACTTATTTGTGTCTTTGGATCTAAAGTAAGCCTCTTGTAGACAGTATATAGTTGGATCATGCTTTTTCATCCACTGTGCTAATATCTGCCTTTGGAGGGTTTAAACCATTTATAATTAATTACTGATAAGGAAGGATTTACTTCATTTTGCTATTAGTTTTTGATATCTTTTACCTCTTTATGTCCCTCATCTCCTCTATTACTGTCTTCTTTTGTGTTATTTTTTGTAGTTTACCATTTTAATTTTCTTCTTTTTCCTTTTATGGATACTTTAAAGATATTTTCTTTTTTTTTTTTTTTTAAAGATTTTATTTATTTGACAGAGAGAGATACAGCGAGAGAGGGAACACAAGCAGCGGGAGCGGGAGAGGGAGAAGCAGGCTTCCCGCGGAGCAGGGAGCCCGATGCGGGGCTCGATCCCAGTACCCTGGGATCACGACCAGAGCCGAAGGCAGATGCTTAACTAACTGAGCCACAAAGGCGGCCCTGTTCAGTTCCTTTCTATAATTATATAAATTGTATACTTATAATTGTATAAATTTAAAATCTCTTGATATTCTCATTTTGCTTGTACATTGTTTTCCTGGTTTCTTTTAGCTCTTTGAGCACATTTAAGACAGTTGGTTTACAGTTTGTCAACCATCTGTGCTTTTTCAGGGACACTTTCTGCCAAATAATTTTTCCCTTTGAATGGGCCAGCCTTATTGTCCTTTTTCTTTGTATTCTTTGTTATTTTTTTTTGTTAAAAACTGGACATTTGAATATTTATTGTGGTAACTCTGTAAATCAGTCTCTCCCTCCTCCAGGCTTTGCTGTTATTGATTGTTGAAGGTTACAGTCAATTGTTCATTTAGTGACTTTCCAAATAAGTTTTGCAAACTAAAACTAGTCTGTCATGTGTGGTCACTGAGGTCTCTTTCTTTAGCTTGTGTTCAGCTACTGTTTTGACAGAGATTTCCTTGAACACTAACAGTAAACGAAAAGTAATACACCTCTCCCAGCCTTTGTGCTAGGGTACTACTACCTTAACACTACATATAACTATCTTAGCTTTCGGCTTTTATTGTCTTAGATATGAGCCAGAGGTGAAGCTATGATCTTCAGAGGTCTTTTCTGAGCATATATCCTGTCCTGGGCATGTATGCAGTTTTCTAAATTCTCTGATATACAAGGGTGCTTTTGAATGTCCTCGTTTCCCCAGCTTTCCCTCCTAGGCTTTAGGTGGTTGACTGTACTGTTAACTGATGTCCCAGGTGGCTGTGGGGTTTTAGTTCCCCTACAATGTTTCTGAACCCAGGGCTTTTGTGCCCTAAGTTCTGAGTATGGCAAAACAGAGACAAGCATTTTGCATCAATCCTTTATCCAATCCCACGCAGGTTAGGACAAACAATAATTTTTGAGTAATATATTCCCTGCTCCCTTTGGAATCAGGGACCACGATCCCAAACTGGGAACACAAGCTGCTCACTTTAAAACTGCCACTGATCCAGGGAGTGTTTGGGGGCAAGAGCAAGTAAAAACACCACAAAGCTTTCCTACCATTTTTAAGTGGCCTTTTTCTTGATTTAGTATTTACCTGGTTGTTGTAAACCTGTTTTCTAGATTTAGATTCTTGACAAAGTTGGTCCTGACACTTTCTGCTTGTTTTTTTTTTTTTTTTGAGGACTGGGTATTTGGAGCTATGTACTCCACCATTTTGTTCCACAGTGGCTTTTTAAACATTACCATCAACCCAGTTTTGTTTTTTTTTTCTTTCTTTTTAATGGAATAGGGCCTGTCCTCCCACACCATTCTCTGCCCAGGATACCGTTAACCATTTGGTTCACATTCTGCCTCTGCCTGGGGGCAGTCAGCAGGCCTGTCTCTCAGGGCGACTTCTTGGGACCTCATCATGTCTCTACCTCCTAACACTCTCCTGCTCCAACATACCCAGGACTGCCTTGTACTACCTCTGCCTGCTGGGGGAGGTCATCAAGAGGATGTGACCACTGGTTGACTCATGAGCTGGATCCAGGTGACTGGAGGCTCCTCATCCTTTTCCCTGTCCTTGAACGTACATTCTGCTTGCCGTCCCTGCTCCCAGAAGCTGCCCCAAGGACACAGCATTGAGATAGTGATGTGGTGCTGTGACCATCGAGACAGTATGTGTAACTAAATCCAGTTAAGGCCACTATATCAACTTTTAAGATTTGGCAGGTGGATGCTAGGGTCTACTCGTATTGCAGGCACCCAAGACAAGCCTCTTAAATAAGTTCCCTTGATTATTAAACTGTCACCTACCAACCTGGGGGGCCTGCCTTGTTCTTCAGACTCTCCCCTCCATGTACAGAGGCCAGTTTAAGTCATACCTGGGAAGTTTGTGAGGTATGCGAACAAACACTGCCATTAGCCCAAACTTCTCTGGCCAGAGTCTGACTAGGGTACTCTGCCCAGATGTCCTGAGTATGACCACAGGTCCCACGTAGTTAAGAGTGTCCTCTTGTAAAACAGCCATCAAATAGCAGTAAGGAAAACTAACACTGAGTAACCATCCTAATCACTGCTGAGCGGTCCACAGAAAAGGCAAGCTAGTTGAGGGCTCTTCAGGAAAGGACTCTCTAGTAGAGTTCCAAAGTGGATGGGAGTGGCTAGGCAATGCGAATGCAGACAGAAGGGAGTAGATCACGGCCTGAATTAGGGCTGTACCCTAAATGCAGGGGACTACCACCAGCCTGGTAGTTGGGCTGCAGGGCTCAGCTGGCAGCCATCATATCACACCCCTCTATGTCAGGTGGGGAAACACAGTGTCCTGCTCAGGCACCAAGACACCCTGGGGCCAGGCCAAATTCCTCTCTGATCTCTAGCCTTGGTCCTCAAGTCCATGGGGCACCCTATCCCTAATGATGACATGGATGCCTCCTGGGGGTAAGCACAGGGTGACACGGACAAAGTCCCTCCAGAATGAGGGCAACCAGTGGGGAACTTGCTCCCAGTACCTGGCTGCTGACGGTGAGGGGGGGTGGTTCCTGGCTCAGTGTAGCCACAGCAGTGGGGATCATGGAGTGCAGATCCAGCATGGGTCACAACAGGAGCATCATTCACACAGGCCTGGGCTGCAGGGATCCAAGGGGATGGTCCAGGAACTGAGGGCTCCATTTCTGCCTCTTCAGAGCGAGCTCTGAGGCTGGGCATGGCTGGGACCTGGAGACCAGCAAGGATACAGGTGAGTGTACAGAGGAGCTAGCTCCAGGGATCCATACTCCTACCAGGCAAGGGTCTCTTCCAACCCTACAGCCTGAGACCTGATGTAGACCTGGTGCTAGGTCTCAGGGAAGGGGTAAGATGCTGACCTCAGGGCAAGGTGAGTACACAGTGTCCCATGGGCACCCCTAGAAGGGCCCAGGGCTGCCATGATAGGAGAACAGCCCCACAGAGCCTGCACCCATGGTGGGCCCACCCCTCATTCCTGACACAATGTCCTGAAGGTGGAACATCAGATCCATTCACAGTGGAGTAGCAACTCCAGCAGTTGGGCAGCTAGGGGCAGCCTGTGCCTCAGAGGTGCACATGGTCATCATGGTGTCTGAGTTATAGGTCCTGCCCCTGCCCCCCCCCCGGCAGCATCCACACTGAGGTCTCCACCATCCTGAGCCGTCTTCCCACTGCACCAGTGGCTCCCTCCTAGGCTCCTCCTTATCTCCCTCTTCATGTTGGTACATCAGGGTTCACTTTTGAACCTACACCAACTTCCTTGGTTAAGGAAGGCATCAACACCCTTATCCTGTGAAGATTCCCAAGCGTGGGCTCATTTCCAGTTCTAAATGCTCCTTCTGAGGAGATACAATACTCCCACTGATACATGATGGGTTCCCCATAAGGACCAAATTAGTGATTCCCCCACCCCTCCTACTGCCCTGTCTCTGCAAATGCACCATGTCCTGCTCAGTGGCCCACCCATACTGTGGCAATTCCCTTTGGCCCCTTATTCACACTGCACTACTGAAAGAAGCACACAGCGGACACTGCCTGCCTACTGGGTAGAACGTAGTATAAGCCCTGACAGTTGTTTTTTTTGTAAAGCAAGTGCCTGAATTAAGCTTTGATGCCGAAGCATCCACTGCAAACAGGCATCCGTTTCAAAGATGGAATAAATGCCAGCCACTGGACTAGATAAAGAGCCAGGCCACCTCCCCTGACAGCCTCCTTTGTTTTGGAAATCTTGTTTGATTCTGATTACTGGCCATTTGGACCACTTGTTATTTTTCTCTTCCTGTGCTTTAAATTCCCACTCTTATGTTTTACTTATTTTATTAAGAAGAATTTATTTATTCATTTGAGAGAGAGAACACGCGTGTGAACCAGTGTGGAGGAGGGGCAGAGGGAGAGGGAGAAGCAGACTCTCTGATGAGCGCGGAGCCTGACTCAGGGTTCAATTCCAGGACCCTGAGATCATGACCCGGGTCTGAAGTCAGATACTTAACCAACTGCCAGGCACCTCTCCACTCTTATGTTTTAAATTCACCAATAAAGAGTGAGCCCATGAAACCCTAGGTCTCTACCCTTGACCTCAATCAAAGCAGAAATCCAGGCCAGTGCTCTCTCATTACTGGAAACTTCACTGTGTGGCCCCAGGTGTGCTAATTTGCAGGGCCTGTGAGTAATAAATCTTTATTTTTTGAAAATTTCCTAATGAAAATTTCCTTGTTGCTGAAGGGCATTTTGCAATCATCGTTAAGAACCACATGGGTTGGTCCAACCAAATCACTGGTTTTTGACAGGCTGAGACCAGCACGAAACAGAGGCAGCAAGGAAGGAGCGGAGCCCTGGGGCAGGCAGGCATTTAAACCAGGCCCAGGGAAGGGGACTTAGGCAATGCCTGGTTAGAAAGGTAGAACAAGGGGCAAAGGTGTGGACAGAGCTCAGAGACAGGGTCACTGGGGTACAGACTATCAGAGGCCATGGCTGCCTGACAGTGAGGCACTGGCCACGTTTCTATATTAGGACAGACAGAACTAACCTGACACGGATGCTCAGAGGAACGTGCAGACAAGATTCAAAGCAGGGAGAGCACTGACTTAAGGTGTCTGTCAGCAGAACGAAGCAGATGTTGCTTCCATGGGGGGGGGATGTCCGTCACTTTCCCTCTCCCAAAGGGACAGTCATCTGCAATATTCATTCACTTTATTTTAAAATTCTTTGAATTATTATCACTGTCACTGAACGGGGGCAGTCACATGGCTCAAAATTCAAAGGCAAAAGACTTATGGTGAAACACTCCCAGCCAGCTACTCTGCTCCCCTTCCCAGTTGCTAATGTACCCTTCCAGAACATTCTATGCTCATTTTACATCTTGTTTTCCTCACCTCAGTATATGTGGCTTCTTGCCCTGGAGGACACAGACCGAATCTGTGGTAAACAGAACGCCCCTCAACACCCATGTGCACATCCCAATCCCTGGAACCTGTGGATATGGTATACCACGCAGCCAAAGAGACCCTGCAGAGGGGATTATCTTGGTGGACCCAATCTAATCACACGAACCCTTGCTGACTCCGGGGTGCAAGGTCCCTGTGCAAGGATTGGCGCCTCAGCAAAGAAACACACTTCAGTACAAGAACCTCAAGGAATTCGCTTCTGCCAACGAGCCTGGAAGCAGATTCTCTTGGCTAAGAGCTCAACAGGGTGCTAAGCAGAGACACCAGCCCACTGCAGGCATCACGGGGTGGGCATGGCTCGTCCCTCAGCTCCACTCACACGGCGGAGAATAAACTCCTCCCTGTCCCCAGAGGCTCGTCGCCACCTGGAGGGTGACTGCACCACCCGGGGCCTCCAGGCAGGACACCTGCGCGGAACGACCACCTCATTTCTCACACAGCTCAGTTCAGCTCTGACGTTCGCACCCAAGTCCTCAGGCCCCTCCTCCACCCCGACCCCCACGCGCCAGACACCACTCACCGCACACCTGCCCCGTCGCCACGCGGCCCGGCGGCCAGGCTCCAGGGCGAGTCAGGATCCGCCGTCCGCAGGATGCCCCTCACGCCCGCTCCCGGAGGCGCCCTCCGCGGCCCCCAGCCCCGCCCAGGCCGAGCAGCCCCAGCCCCTCTGACCACGACGCCCTGCCTAGCCCACTGGAGGCCGGCACCCACCGCGGGGCCTTCGGGGTCACGCGGGAGCGCGGTCCGCAACGTGGAGGCTTCACCTGCGCGAACTCCTTCCCTCCCGGGGTCGCTCCGAGCACCGCGCGACGCCGCAGGGCTACCGCGGCTGAGCCCAGAGACGGGCCCCGGAAATCCCTCCCCCGACCCTCCCCCGACTTCCGGGCCAGCGACGCCGCTCTAGGCGGCGGAGGCCCGGCGACGTGGGCGTCCCTCCCCCTGGGGGCGCGGAGCCGGAGCTCCCTGGCTCTAACGGAGGTCGGAGCGCGCTGGTGACTGGATGTGAAGAGGCGAGGGTTAGAGATGCAGGAAGACGAGAAATGCCGCTCTGGTGGGGCTTGTGTACACAGTTCCTGGAATCGGAACAGACTGCCGCTTGATGAAAACGTGAGGGCTCACGTGGGAGAACTGAATCCCTCAATCAGTAAATGATTCGGCAGACAGATGGAAAAACTCAAATTCCTTAACTAGGTAATACACATTTCGTGGGACTGCTCGTGGAACATTTACCGAAACTGATGATACACTCAGATATAAAGAATACGAATGTTTTAAGATGCATTTGACAGGAAGATTATCAAAATTAGAAATGTATAATAAAAAGCTGACAAAAACCCCTTAAGTATTGGAATTTACGAAACATTGTCTACATAACCTTTTAATCAAAATGATAGTAGCTGGAAATTACAGACTATTTATAAAGCAATCGAAAGCAAAACACTTCATTCTCACACCTATGGAACCCAGTATAAAGTGTAAAATATACAAAATTCACTGAATGTTTTTCAGAGAAAAATATATGATGTATTCATAAAATAAAGGAAATTTTCAACTTTTTTTTTTAAGATTTTATTTATTTATTCATGAGAGAGAGAGAGAGAGAGAGAGAGAGGCAGAGGCAGAGGGAGAAGCAGGCTCCCCGCGGAGCAGGGAGCCCGATGCGGGACTCGATCCCCGGACCCTGGGATCATGACCTGAGCGGAAGACAGACGCTTAACGACTGAGCCACCCAGGCGTCCCGGAAATTTTCAACTTCTAATGTTTGTGGGCCCTGCATGGGCTCTCGGGGAAGCTATACTGTAACATTTATCAGAGTCATCAAAACGTCAAAGCATGGGCTCCATTTCTACCCGGAACACATTATGTATCTGTGAGTAAGGGACAGGCGGGGCTGGGTAGGGAGAGAGAGGTAGGGGGCTATGGGATCAGGCTTAGCAAAAATCCCAGAAATGCTGAGGCGTAAAGAAACCAGAGGTAAGGGAACGTAACTAGACCACCTGGTTTGTCTTAAACACCAGAGAGGACATATTCAAAGGAGAAGTAATCATGGTGCTGTCAGTGGTGACATCAAGAAGATTTAAGTTCCCTGGTCAGTTTTCTATAAAAGACCATAAAAGCCCTCAGTGGCAACCCGTTGGGGACCCCTCTCACTCTAGAGAGCTTTCTTTCTGTTCTCACCTTCACTTAATAAGCTATGACTTCACCCTTTTGTGCAAGATTCATTCTTCAACTCCTTGAGACAAGAACTCTGCAACCCTACAACACTTCCTTCATTTATAAATAACCTAAAAGGGAGCATTCCATACATAAAGAGAAGGGTAAAACAAAAACAAAAACCTCTCTGGTTCCCATGAGATTAAGGTCCTACAGCTCTGCATATACTAAAAGCTTAAGATAACTGCTGTAACTCTCTGAAATGTCTTCTAGTGATTTGTTACTTCTTATGTAAAAAAAAGTATGTAACCTTGCAACAAATGTTCCTCCCCCCCTCTCCCACTCTCTTCTTTGTTGTTTCTGTTGTTGCCTTTTTTTTTTTTTAAAGATTTTATTCATTTATTTGACAGAGAGAGACATAGCGAGAGAGGGAACACAAGCAGGGGGAGTAGGAGAGGGAGAAGCAAGCTTCCCCACGGAGCAGGGAGCCCGATGTGGGGCTCGATCCCAGGACCCTGGGATCACGACCTGAGCCGAAGGCAGGCGCTTAACGACTGAGCCACCGAGGCGCCCCTCTGTTGTTGCTTTAAGTAGTTTCCACGCCAGATGTGGGACAGAGCATTCTCTTCTTTATGGATATTCTGTATGGGGGAAGCTGTCCTAACTTGGGCTCAAATAAAACTCTCTTTAAGAGACTCTATAAGTTTTGTTAATATTGCATCAACAGTATAAATATTTTGCCTTAAATTCTTTTTCATTATTAAAGAAGACAAAAGGGTATATCTTCAGAAGTTAGAAAAAAGAAAAATACATTTCTCTGCACCAGCAATAACCAACAAGATAATGTAACAAAAAATGAAATGTACTCCATGATAGCAACAAAAACTATAAAATGCTGGGTAATTAATAAAGAGCACTCAAGACCTCTGTGGAGAACACCCTGAAACTCCAGTAAAGGACACAGAAGATGATCTTAGTAAATGGAGAGACATTTCTTGCTTTTGGATTGGGAAACTTAATATGTCAAAGATGTAAATTTCCCCCAATATAACCTATAAATTCGCTGCAATCTAGTCAAAGTTCTACTTGGTTAGGAGGAAACTCAAAATGTCTGTGGAAAAAGAAAAGTCGTTGAATAGCCAAACCAACCTAAAAAGGGAAAAGGAGGGTATGCTATTACTCTTGACAGAAGAATCGACTGACCGCAGAAGCGGGACAGCAGAGAGATCAGTGTCAGACTTTTGTGGAGGCAGAAATTCAACAGATGATAAATGTGGCACAGCAATCAATGGCAAAAGAGTAGATTCTTTGGTAGAAGTATTGAGAAAGTGAGCTCACTCAGAGAAAAACAGAACCAGATCTCTACTTAACACACACAATGGTAGTCTCTAAATGAACCAAAGACCCGATAAGAACAGAAATGAGGTTAGCAGGAAAAATACACAGGAAATATTGTTGAGACCCTCGGGTGAAAGAGAAGCTCTGCTGATTAACCATCAGAGAAAGGCAAATTAAATGTCAGTGAGCTAATACTTCACACTACTGGGCTGGAGAAGTTAGAAGCCTGGATATCACTAGTATTAGCACTTGAGATTCAAATATTTTTCTCTCATGTAAAATCATAAATTTGTATGGCAGGTTCCCTAGGCAGTGACTGGGGACCCAAGTCCTCCCCAACTGAGGATGTCCGTCAGCTGACTTGAAGGAGAAGAGGAGAATGAATAATAGGGATAATGCGCTGTGTTTGCCCAGTCTTTCCATATGGTCATCTGCTGCACCAGGATGCAGCCCCTGGTCAGGAGAAACAAGCCAAAGTCCTGTCCAGTCCTGAATGCAGCTCAGTCCAGTCCCTCTGGACAAGGTGCAGCCTCTCCATCAGGTCCTATCATTGGAGGGCAGGTCGTGTGCCCACACACACCCAACCCAGAGGGTGGAGAAGGAGAATGGGACACATACAGCAGCATTCAAACTCTGCTTGGCAGGGCCCAAAGGTAAGTCTGACATGTGGTTATTTAAATAAAACGGTGTGGTATTTGAATGAAAAGTTTTCACACACTTGTAAGCAAGCTTTGCAGCATCTCTGTGCAGGGTCTGCAGAATCCTCCCATGGGCATCTCTGCATGAATGCTGGAGACCCTCTCCCTGGCAGGGAAGGGAGCTCTGGGATAGCAACCTGGTACCCAGACACAGATCTGGCAGGAGCTCCCTGGGCCCTGGGCCACATCAGGTCTGACTTGGCTCTCTGAGGCGGCGGGATGGGGGGGTGTCCTTGTCCATAATATGCATGCCCAACTGCAAAGGAATGTGAGAGGCTACCCTAGCTGCAGCTTCCTGGCTTTGCAGGGGCTTCCTGATTGATAGCTGGGTCCCTGGGTCAGTTTCTTACATACACACTTCCATTCAGCTCCACATGGAAAGGCCCCATCTAGTCATGGGTTTAAGTGTGAGGACGCTTTTTTATTTGTTGGCCTCTATGTGCTCACCATTCTTCTTTCTCTCTCTCCAGCTCAAGGTGACTACCTTGAGGCCACTTGCACCGCCATATATCCCTCAAATATTTATAGAATGACCTTCCACAAATGAGACACAGGCCCACTCTCTATGGGCTGGGCTGTCTTCATGTCCTTTGGATCTGTGTGGTCACAAGGGTTCTGTGCTTAGAAGGGCTAGCACTTGGTTTAATGCTGGACTGACCCCTGTCATATGGCTAAAGAGTATTTGAGAGGAATGTGGGGCACAGGATTGGCTGCCTCTTCAGAGCCTTGCTTTCTCAAAGCTTCATGTGGGGTTCAGAAGAGGATGGCATTTTCAGCCTTGTGGGGCCTTCTTAACAGACTCACAGATCACAGGCCACAGACAGAAGGAAACCCCCTTGTCCAGCTGTCGTCTCCTCCATCTGCCTTCCTCTAGCCTAAGTCTCTCTAGGTGGGCTTTGCTGAAAGTGGCAAGAAGTAACCAACACTCGCCAACATTCTGAACTATTTTCAACCATTTCCTCTAGGGCTATAGTTTTAGTCACATGCAATCTGTTCCTAATATACCACAAGCAAGAGTCATACCAAACGCTTTTTCATGCATAGCAAGGGTCACCAGCTTTCCACCTGTAAAATCTCTGTCCTGACTGGCTGATCTTTAAGCCAACTCCACATGTATTAGGTTCTGTTTTGGCACCAGCCTGCTCCCAGGTATCAAGTTCTGAATTAGTTAGAATAAAGCTTAGTTGATGTAAAGAGGCTCAAAACCAACATTGGCTTCAGCAAGGCACAGGGCTGTTTCTGTCTCCTGTCCATGTGGGTGTGGTGGCTGTCCTCCTGAAGCTGGAAGGGCACAGACCCCTTCTACCTGAGGATTCCACCCTCCTCAGGGCATCTTCATGGCTAAAGATGATGCATTACCATGTCTCATTTCAGCCAGTGGGAAAAGGTGTTTTTGAGGACACACCAAGAAGATGCGCACATTCCTTCTGCACATGGCCCACATGTCACACCTCACTGCAGCACAGCTCAGAAACATCATTTTTTGCTTGGGTGGGCAAATGCTCAGCTAAATTTCCATCTCTATAAGGGACAGAGAGAAGGGACACTAAGGGACAACGAGCAGGCTCTGTGCAACTACTATGAGAGAAAATAACACAGTAAATACTAAACCAGGAAGCAACATCAGAAAACATTAGA